TGTTCGTTTTTAAGGGGCCTCGCAATGGCATTGATTTAAGGAGAATCATTTAGGCAATTTCTAATCTCGTCGTCGCCACCCGAGATCTATGTGTTAGTCGTAAATGATTATTAGTGTGTGTGGCGTCCATGCGGGTCAATTGTAGCTCTCGCACGCACTCGCACACACATGTCAATATATAATAATATTGTGATCATGGAAAAATGCTTATTTTTCACTTAAACATACGATTCTAATTCCAACAGTACGTCGCAACGATTACCTCAATTTTCATTCTGACAAAATATTCTTATTTTCCACAACATGTACGAGGGATCGATCGAGGCACATTTTTAAAATTGTATTTAGTTAATTAAATATTTAAGTTGGAAATTCTGTATTTTTTTTTGATTTTTTTACAATTTTTATTGCAATTTAAATTACAAAAATTAAAAATGTGGCTCGATCGTTCCCTTGTATATATTACGGACAATCAGAATATCTTTTCAGAATGAAAATCGTGATAATTGTCGACACGTATCGTTGGAATTAGAAACAGTAGTTTTTGACAAAAAAAAGACTTGGTAGTGAGGCCCCTTAAACGTAGAATATACACAGTATCAACTATCAACCTATTAAATTCGTTCGAACACGACTGTAAGCTTAATATGTTGGAGTTGGGCTGAAGAATGCGGTGTCAGCCATTATAACAACTGTCAAAAATCAAAAATCAATATAATGTATCGATGTCTCGACCGTCTTATATTTTGTAATCTATCACGTGACTATCGAGGTTCTATTTCGATTTACGAAATATGTGAATCGCTAAATGCTAAATGCATTTCGTTAAATGTTGAGGAGATAGAAAACACTAAATATCTATGAAAACAATAATTGATAAATTGACATTATATAGAAATTGTATAATGTACCTACCTGTATACTGGACACATGCGTCGTTTGCACAGAACTATAATAGGTATGTATTCATCAAACCTAAACAAAAAATCTGTAAAAATGTGATATTATGAAAATTATAGAAATTTTCCCTTTTTGCATTTAGTAATTAATTTACATAGGTAATATGACACACCACAAATAATATTATTAAGTGTGATTGTGACTAGAATAATTTGAAATTTCTAAACAAGCGATATGTCGTATGGCCGTCCGAGTACGAGATAACCATTGATAACCGGTTAGACGGCGGTTACTTCAACCGTGGTATAAACTCCGATTGTGCGACCGCATTATAAATTATTACCACGGTCCACATTGTCGTGTCCATAGTTTGAGCTCGGCTCAACTCCAGAAATTTTCTGGTAGATCATGGTTAGCGAATGATACCACGATCGCAACGGCCAATCAAAATACGACAAGAGCCACACGACACGACGGACGACGTAGCTCCGAACCAGACTTACGGCACTCTCAAAAAGGACGTGATAAGAGTTAACCGCGATATTTGCTGTCGTCGTTTTAATCGCGAGAAAACGCGGACCGGCCTTTAACTTCGAGTCGTCCGTCGTACCGTTCGATTTTCGATAAACTCATTTTCACATCGTCCACGACTACATAGTGTGAAAAAATTACAGCAGCACCTACTATTCTCGATCGTTTGTTTTCAAGCCTCGTCATAACGATTTCCTGTTCAACAAACCACGGATTTTGAGATTTCACGTCTGCAAGGTAAAATATCATAACATCTATGTTACCTATTCACAACCCACAGGTTCGGGGCTAGAAAATACTTGTGAAAAACTGTTGTGGTTCGTAAGAGTATATCGTCGGCCTAAGTAGTAATAAAAATCGTAACTCTATTTTTTTCGATTTTGAGATTATTTAACATTAACATTTAAAAAATAAAATGCGTCATATGATAAAGTCATAACCCCAGCTTTATAGTTTTAATGTTTTATCCTCCATGAAATAGAAAATTATTAAAAATCCGTATCTCCGATGTTTAGACCTAGAAAAAGTCATATTTCCATATTATTATCTTTTATCATTGTAATAAATTATGGAGATACGACCTTTGTGAATTTGGGAATTAAACCTTTTTTCCTCTACTGTAAAATTTACCATTTTTTACCTTTACGTCTTAGGCCGACGAAATTAATAATTATTAATAATTATTATTCGTATTATGATTTCCGGACTATATACCTACTCGTTTTTGATTATTGGCGAATTGCATATTTTGTACCTAGGTACTGTGAAACCTCCAAATACAGGACACTCTGAAATTGCATCTGGTATTCGGAGAGTTCAGTTCGTAGAAAGCGTTTAGCATGTTCCACTATTTAGAGGTGTCCGTTAGGAGAGGTTTCACTGAATTATTATTATAACATGCCTACCTGGTGCGTATAATATATATGAAGGGTTACGGGGAAAAACGATAATAGTCAATATTATTGACAATCAACAGTATTGCAGTTTTAAAGTGGGACTCTGGCCTTTTTTTCCCGTTATATTAATATTTAAACCTGTATTATATCATTGACTATGTTCGTTTTTCGCCGTAACCCTTCATATATAATACATTGATGAATTTGTAAAATCTAAGTTAAACCCTGTTAAGATGGTCATGATAGTAGGTATAACGATTTTCAGAATAACGTAACTTCATTTAAAGTATTTACATATTATAAAGTATATTTTTTTGTTAAAATAATTCACCGTCCGTCGATTTTTAAAGGGTAAAATGGGAAGTTTATAATAAATGTATGACTCAAGCGTAAAAATAGCCGTTGATTATTATAAAAATACTATCAGCGGTTTTTTACTTATTCCTTGGAAAATTTAGTTCACATTATAGAAATTAAAATATCCATGCACGACTTTCACGTACCTACGTATGAAATTATACTTATATAATATTATGTGACGCTGACAAGACACGATAAGTTGAAATATCGTATAATGCTGACCAAGTTAAAATGCATTGAATATAACAATATAGGTACAAAACACTTTTTTTTTCTTTCAGCATATTATTATTATTATGAGAATGATGAAAAAAAAAATACGAGTTAAAAAATCAGCTTGTATAATAAAATGTACCTTTATAATATTAACTATTATTGTAACATTTTGTTTAAAAAAAAGAATGATATAGGTATTAGGTAGCTTCAGTAACCGAACATTGAACTGAAATCGATACCAAAACCAATATCGTACTATATAATATAAGTAAACGTACTACAGTGAAACCTCTAAATACCGGACACTCTCGGTCGCTGAAATTGTATCCTGCGCAATTCGGAAGGTTCAGTTTGAAATACTTGTAAAATATTATTACACAGATAGTGTTTATTTAGTTTCCAAGAAAATGTCCGCTATTCGGAGGTTTCTACTATTTAGAGGTGTTCGTTAGAAGAGGTTTCACTGTGAAGCATTTAGTTTGGTGTACGTAAATCTTATCAGTGAAATCGGTACATATTTGTTATAAATCGTTTACACCTGGCACCTGCATCTACCAGTTTACGTGTATAATACTATAATATTATGTTAAATGAATAATCACTCAAGAATAAGCTAGCGCTATACACCAAATTTAATACCATAATTAATATACTGCGATCTTCCACCTGTATCCATGTCGTAATCTTTTGTATTTAGTTGTTCAACCTATAGATGGTCTGATGCAATGATTTATTTTATTTTTAGATACCAAATTATAGTTACAATTTGAAGTCTAAATAGGATACATAATATTGCATTCAGATACACTCATACACTGTATAAAAGCTTGAAGTAAGTATTTAATTTCTTATGACTGATTCATTTACCGATTACGAACCTTTTGGCAGGCTGGCTGTTCAAAATATACATATTTAAAAAAAAGGTAATTAGTAAGAAACTATGGAGGAAAATTCCTGTAAAAACATCTAATTACAAGAATAATTTAAATTCAAGTCCATTAATTTAAATGAATAATGAATTCTCTAAGTTGTTGTTATTGTTAGTTCATGAAGGCAAAAAATCTACACCCAATTATGAAAACATGAAATGTACAATTTTTATTTAAAACATGTTATATTATGTACAGTATTTTCTGCTACAATACAGTAATATATATTATAAATAGTATAAATAATTTGTATGCATGAATAATAAAACTTACTCGTATAATATGTTTATAATAATATTATCACTTAAAATTTACGTATACAGTTTGTTTTTCGTATGTAAGGGCAGTAAAAGAGACAAAAACGTCTAATATACATTGGCTTAAAAATAATAAAATTTATATTTTCATCAAAAAAATCATTGGAATCGTATATATTGCACGAGTTTGGCGAACAAGTCATATTTATTTTATTTGTTCTTTAGAAAAAAATGAGTTAATTATAGTAATTTCGGATAACCGAATGTTGTCTTTTCCTTTTTAAAGTAATTATAGTATAAAAGGATTTCTTAATGTTAACACAAAACAAAAAAATACACAACTTAACTACTACGACTAGTATACGCTTCTTAAATTTAAAGTTATTTACAAAATAAAAATTATATAAGTTAATATTGAATTAGGGAAAGCACCAGAAAATAAACCTATGGCCGACGGGGTAGCTACACGTTTTTTGTTTATACTAGTTAACTTGTCAAACCAGTCGAAAACGTCACGTTAGTAATTTGGTTTAACGATTTAGTTACATTATATTTTATTATTTTTGCTGTGAAACACGTTGACGTAGGTACCTATTGTAAAGAAAAAAACACGTCTATTTCCGATGTGATGTGTTCCCAATGTCGGTTTCGGGTTTTAAATGTGGTGGGAGGTTCGTCTGTTCGAGTAGGAGGTATATTGTACAGAAATAATAATAAAAATAATAAAAATAATAATAATAATAATTAAAGTACATATCGAGATCATATTTTATGCTTCTGATGGGTTCATCATTATTCCTCCTGCCGACCCTTTAAAGAGGACCATAGTCACTGAGCCCCGTGGTAGAGGGCATCATGTCCTCGGACGGGTCTGGTTGCTCGTAGCTAAGGGCAGGAGTGGCGTACTGATGTCATACGTGGCTAAGCGGCGCCTGTTTGATAATGTGGTGGTGAAGGCTGGACGATGGGGCCAGGTGGTGGGACGAGGGCAGCGTGCTACCCGGGACCGACGGTGCTGGCATGTACTGCAGCTGCTTGCGTTGTTTGCCTGGATTGACGAGCACCGGGTTGGGGCCGCCCTTGGACATGCGACCGCCGCCGCCTCCACTACCGACTCCACCGCCACCAAATAGCCGACGGGACAGGCGCTTCCACGAGCCAACCGTCTTACCAGACCATATCCACACACCTGACGTGACACCCATCACCAGCGTCATGAAGTATTTGAGCATGAGCATGGTGTACACCGGCTTGGTATCCGGGTCCGGTTCGGAGCACGGGCACGCCAGGTGAGCCACACGGTCAGGCATGTACCGGGCCTCGTAGTAGTGGCATCCGATGACGACGGATGCGGGCACGGTGTAAAGAACGCTGAACACGCCGATCCGGATCATGAGCTTTTCCAGCTTGTCCGCCTTGCTGCGGCCCACCTGCTGCTTGATGACGTTCCGGATGCGGAACAGCGATACGAACCCGCCCAACAGGAACGATATTCCCAGCGCCAGGTAGACGACGAGCGGCGCCAGGACGAACATTTTAAGGTTATCCGGGTTCTGGTTTCCCACGTAACACACGCCAGCGAACGCGTCCCCGTCGACGGCCGACATGACCAGCACGCCAAGCGACTTGACGGTGGGTATCAGCCAAGCGGCCAGGTGGAAGTACTGTGAGTAGGACGCGATCGCCTCGTTACCCCACTTGAGACCAGCCGCCAGGAACCATGTGAACGCCAGTATGACCCACCAGATGGACGAGGCCATGCCGAAGAAGTAGAGCAACAGGAACACGAGCGTGCACGGCGTGGGCCCGGACGCGTTGTACTTGACGGAACCGTCGGGCTCGCAGGCGACCGCATCGTGGCCTGCGTACACTCGGATCAGGTACCCGAGGCTGACCATCAGGTAGCAACCGGACAGGAACACGATCGGCTTTTCCGGATACTTGAAACGCTGCGTGTCGATGGTGTACGTGGTGAGTGTCATCAGCGTGGTGACGCAACATATGCTCGACCACAGGGCGATCCAGGTGGACGCGAAATCCTTTTCTTCGTCGGTGAACAGCACGGCCCGGCACGGCATCGCGCAGTTGTCCACGCCCGCCACAGACACGCCACTGCGGTTGTACCGGACCGATTCCCTGTCGATGGCCACTAGCGGCGGCCGGCACTTGCACTCGCACCCGTCCTCGTCGCCAACACCCCCGCCGCCGAACGCGTACTTCTCGCATCCCTTGGCCCTGCTACCCGGCTTGCACTTGTTTGCCAGTGACCCAGTCGGCTTCTTGGTCGGCTTGACTGGCACGTGCTGGTGTTGCTCGTACACGTCCTGGGCCATGCACAGTTCCGGGCCGCCGTGCACCGGCAGCTTGTCGCACTGCATCTTCTCCGGCCACACGAACCCGTACCGCTGCATGACCGGCAGACACCCGTCCCGGGCCCGTTCGCACACGCTCCGGCACGCCTGCAGTGGCCGCTGGTACTCTTCGATGCAAATGGGCGTGTACACGGAACACAGGAAAAACTTGAGGTCCGCCGAACAGTTGATCTCGACCAGTGGCCAGAACTGATGCACCTCCATGCCGGCCTCCTCCTGCGTCTCGTGGTTCAGCTGGTTAGGCATCGACGTCATGTTGTACCCGATGCCCCGACACATCGGTATGGTGATCTCTTCGCAGCGCCCGGCCGCCGGCACGGCCGCCACACCGGCCACAGCCCCCGCCGACGCCGCCGCCGTGTTCGTCACGGCCACCGGCTGCATGTTGCAGACGGCGGTGGCCGCGACCGCCAACAACACGGCCGCCACTAGTGTCGGCGTTGAGCACATATCTGCGACACTTCTCGGTACGGTAACGTCCGGCGCGCGCGTCCGCGGTTGTAGTCCAACAAAAATGGATCCTTTTCACGCTCGAGTTCTGCGTGACGACGACGATTCCGAGTGGTTACGAAACTTCATGACCGGTATCTTAACACCTGAAACACACGGATAAAAAACTGCGTAAATATTTTTCTTCCAATAACAATAATATTATATGGGTATAGGTAGATAGTAGGTTACGTACGAGGCAGTACTCAGAACACAATTTTGGGAGAGGGAGGTTGAACCCTTATTCCCCCTCGTAGATACTTGGGTCTTGGGCAGTACTTACTACTTACAAATAATATCAATAATAAATTAACATTTCATAAAGCAGGGTTTACTCCATATCGCGTCGTGCATACATTACATTATGACATTATCACCTACGTACTATTAAATATAAGAAACACGACCGTACGGTATATATAGTAGAAACTCGTGGCTTAATACTATGCAATTCACGGGAATTCGCAAATAATAATACAATTTACTCCGTATGGTTCGGTAAAACGACGTAAGTATACGTTTAGTGTCAGAGACCAGATGGAACGTTGACATGGTATTCATAATATACCTAATATACATGGTATTTACATTAACAATATATATTTTTATCATCGTGTGTGAATGTGTGATTTATAGTTATAGCTCATTTCTATAGGGAAAAATACAAATATTAGAAAGTAAAGAAGCATCTTACGCAATCTTGAATTTTTCGTATCCATAATTATAAAATACGATACAATATTATACATAACATATACAAAAACGCAAAATAAAAGTTAAACAATTTGTATATCTCTACGGTTCGTGGATAGATATTACCAACTATATTTGTAAAAGGACACTGCAAAATAAACATACCATCGCATATAAGTCCTAGTGTTAGTGATTCCTATTATATTATTTTCTTCCATACAACGATTACAATGTGTATTCGTATTGAATTCCACGAACGATTCGGTCTGAGAAAAATACACATGCCAAAGATTAGTATTTTAGCGCTGTGTTGTTGCGTACGTTTCACGCGTGGGTCAGACGTGTCAAAATATATGGGGTGCTTCGGGAATGTATCGTGAACAGATGTATGCATTCATATTGATATATTTTTGTTAAAAATGGTTACATGTTTGATGTTTTATATATCATATATATATATATTATTATGTGTACACTGTACACTGAAGTGGACAGACAAACTCCAGAACAATTTCGGTGAATATTATTATTTACAACCTGTGAAGTGAATGCATCATGACGGTTTTCACTTTTCACCCTATTCCGATCTCGGGGGTAAACTGTATTACCGGTCGCTGAGCGTTGATTGCTGCTGTACGTAGAGGGTGCGGGCGATGACGGTGAAATCGAATTCCTGTATAATACCTAATACATATGCAGTATCTCGGCCAAATGCCGAAAACGAAACTAGAATAAGGGGTCCGGTAATTGCAGCGGAACCCAAACCGAAACGATTGGAAATGACGAGTCGGCTAACGAATTTATAGTCACTATATTATATTGTATGATGTATATATGCCTCGATGACGAAACTTCGTTATCCTCTTCGTTGCCACCGACGACCGCGACGTCCGTATAATATATTACGCATACATTATACACAGTATATATATATATATATATATATATATTATATGCATATAATTTGGAGACGCAAGCAAAATGTATACAATCCCGTTTCTGAAATTGCGAGCCAGCTCCTGCTCGAGGTGAATAGCGAGCAAATAACAACACTCCCCATCCCCCAGCCATCCACGTCCTATATGTATAGCATATAGTATAATATATTTAGTAGGAGGCGTCACACTCGCACACATAGGTACGTTAATTTCATTTCTCCCCGTTTCGATGGCAAACAAAACGCGTCAGCCATATAATATAATATACCTGCCACCCGTCTGTCGTGTCTAACGACGCGGAATCGTCGTACGGCTTTCGTGTGTGAACGGTGGTGACGATATGTCCTCCTCTGTTCGTCATACGTGTCATAAATGTTGTAATATTTCTATACGGAGCACGTATATTAAACGTACGACGACGTGTGCGCGGTGAAAATTAAGAGTTTGGGCGAGTTCGACTGAGATGTGCAGAGAGTCTCGTACCTATAGTTATCGTAATAATATTATATACATGGCACAATATTATTGTATACCCGTCATATACCCAAACGAATCGATTTTCGAAAAAAAAAATCGTACACATACGCTCACCGAATCGGTCTACATTATACCTTCGCGACGGGGACGTTCAACTCGACGTGTTCAAGACGTATACGTCATTATACCTACGTATAGGTATCGTGTGTTGTGCTGTGCGCGCTTATTAACAGTTCGCGTGACAAATCGTCAAGACTACACAGCGACGTACTATGGGGGTACCTATATGATGATAATAACAACGATATGATTTATATAATATATATATAAATATATAATAATATAATGAAACAGATGCGCGGCTCACAATAGACGAGGAAAATAGATTGAAAAGCGATTTCGATGTACGTGTACATACAGCGTGTCCGCGGTATTCCGTCTTCGGCCAATCTCGTAAATAATATAATATAATAATAATTAACTCTCTCATCGTTACATTATCCTCGTGTGTGCGTGCTGTATACCACGAAGACGACACACCAGTGTTGTAGTAGTTATTCATTGTCGCGCGGTCCTCCGGTGGTGTATAGGCGCGGGCCCCGTGATACGGTCGAAATGTTTTATGTGTACGAACGACTCTCGTTGGCGTCCCCGACGTATTATCTCTTCTAGACGATCTCGGGGTCTTTTTATTATTATTATTATTATTATTTCTTTTTAAATAAATCGACTTGTCCGACGTGTCCGTCCGGCCGGTGGGTTATCGGGTTCTTTGTATCTCACGTTTTCCACCCGCTGCGATCCACCCCACACTCTCTGCAGACGTCGTGGTCATGTAAGCGCGGGGCACAGATTTAAAATTATTAAGGACGACGTACGATTTGAATAAAATACATCACATGTATTATTATTCAATCGACAGCGTCGTGGTATACGGTGTATACCTGTATCGAACACTCTCTTTGACTATATAGTTAACATCAGTGGCGTATTTACGGGGGGGGTCCCCGGGTCTGGACCCCCCCCAGAAAAAAATATAATATAATATAATTATTACATCGTAACTCGTATGTGTTTTTTTTATATTATAAACTTGTAGGTACCTAATATTTAGACCCCCCCCCACAAAAAATTTCAAAATACGCCACTGGTTAACATTAATTATATATAATAATATGTAGATACCTATAGGTGTTATATAGGTGTCTTTAATCCAGTTTATTTGGAATGCTGCCGCCACCGAAGTTTCCCTGATAAGAAACATAATATATTGTCGTTTCCAAAATAATAACATATAATCCACGACTGACTGGCGACCGTATGGTGCACATAAAAACGTCCATTTATATATTTAAATTCCTATATGTATACGTCCTATTGCCGCGACCTTAAGAATGTGATTAAGTGTGTCGTATAATATAAGATCACGAGTAATATAATAGAATAAACGATCCAATAAAAGACGACGAGAAAAAACCGTACTTATTGGAATTATTTGTTAACCAAAAAAATTACCTCCTGCAGAGAAGTAAACATCGGGTAAGCTGAAATTTCACGGTATCGTATATGTGTATTGAGGTTCAAGTCATATTCATCTTCGCCATACACTCGTGTCTATACACTGGATGACGAAGTTGTAAATCGTAAAATTGAATTCGAATTTTAACCATTACCAAACAACAGTATATTAAGTGGTTTTTAATCTTAGTAATAATAAAACATCATGTCGATACTCCAACGGACGTACGTTATTTTATCAATGTTATCAATAAGTGGACGATTCATTTCACTCAATAAACATATGCTGAATAACTTTGGTCGGGGTGAACAGAATTTTTCAATAAAACAACCTTCATCGCGATTAGCATACTATATTATATAAATCAAATGGCATATTATATAGGTACACCACGCGCGTTCGCCGGACTCGAAATGCGTCTTGTTTTATATTATTATTATTATTATTTGTATTCCCATTGTCAGTGGAGCATATTATACGTCAACGTTGTCGTCTCCGTGTATTATTTACGTACAATATAGCATATAGTAATAGGAATCTGAATATAATCGAAAAGAAAAAAAAAGACATACCTACTATAGGACGCCGCGTACTGCACTGTGTATAACCGTGGTCCGAAATGGGGACGACGTTTCATTCATGGAAATGGCACAAATAATATTTTATGCACATACTCGAGCTGGAGAAAGATAATATTATAATATACCGCCAAGACTTGCTCCCGTCTGCAGTTTTATTCAAATGCGGTTCGCCTCGCGTCCGTCGAAAACCCGGTAACCGGTATACGCGAAACTTCTGTATGACAACCTCGTTTGCGGTGCCATGATAATTTTAAGTCTGCTTGCAGCATCTGTCCCGCAGCGCATAAGGATATGTCCATCCAAATGATATTATATTCTGCCGTATTGAAAACCACACTAACTTTAGACCGGGACAAAAATCTATAGTTACGGAACCGCGGTCATGGTTATATCCCACACGGGCGATATATGGCACATCTGTGGTTATATCGACAAACTTAGTAGGTACGTATAAATTATTATCTTTTACATACAACGTGCTCGCTATACTTTTGATCCGTTTACGAACGGCGTCGCTTGGCCAAAACTGAAGAGGGCATATTATGTTTACCTACCACAGTTTACCTCTTGAATATTTTATTATTATTACTACGATTTTACGAAAACAAATTATTACGTATTAGTGTGGTAGGTATATTATAACGTTTTCGCATATTTAATTTAATATTATAACAAATTATGAGTTTATATTCCACGGAGGCGCACTGGTTAAAGTGCATCAATTTTGCGGTACGAGTAATAGCGCCGTTTTCAGAACGAGTTTAACGAATATTTTTAGACGCGAAGAGTGTGATAATATTATAATACCGTAACGAATGCGTGACGTCGATGTAGAGTACTATTATATTGTACAAGTATAAAATATGTATAATCATCGTCCCATAAGCTATATAATATTGTTTGAGTGCCTATAACG